TTGGGGGGGGGGGGGGGTGCCCCGGTGGGAAACGTTCCATGCCAACCCTCCCAGCCGGGGGTTGCTTTGGACGTCAGTTGGCCCTTTGCTTCTTCCTGTGCCATTACCAAATGCTCCCCACCCATCCCCGCGGAAGGCGGTTTTTCCCGGCGTCTAAACTCCCCCGGTGGCCACGGCTCGTGCTTGTGCGGTGTGCCACGACCCAGGTGGCGGCGGCGGCGGTGGTGGCGGCGGGTACCGCAAGTCTGAGTTCGAGCGTTACAAGTGACATGTGAACGCAGAGAGAGCACCGGGTGGTTGTCCTAGTGAGGACCCATTTCCCACCATATGACAATCAGAGTTTGTATGTATGTCTGGCACTATGAGAGTTCCGCTAGATACGGCAGAGAAGTGTCCGATCGCGCAGTAGCTGGGTGCTGGTGACATAGCGGCAGCGGTGAGGTATGGGAGCTCACGGTTCTCGGAAAAATGGATTGGATCTCACCTCCACTGTAGGGTCTGCATGAATACGTAGCTTAGCTGTCTGCGGGCTGCGTAACGAAGTTGAGTCATGGTGTCGTACAATGGTGGTTCAGAGCAGCGCGGAGTTGAAAGAAGGGTGAATTCGAAGCGGGCGATAAACGCGACACGTACTCTCAGCGCTGACTATCTATCTGTCTGTCTGTCCGTATATGTATGTGTGTGTGTTCGTTGTGATTACGTGACCATTACGGATCAGATCGTACGGTCAGAATGTGTATCGAGAGTGTTTTTGTGCCTTCCAAGGGCCTGTGGCGTCGAGTGCTGGGGGGGGGATTGGGTTGCAAGATACGCACTGCCCGCACTGGATTGGAGACATCGAGAAGGGCGGAGCCGGGGTTCATCGTGGTTTCGAAGTTCCAGTATTACGTGCGCGCGCACGCGTGCGTGTGTGTGTGTGTGTGTGTGTGTGTGTGTGTGTGTGTGTATATATGGAGAGGGATGGACGGCTGGAAATACCGTTCTTCCCAGCTTGCCGTGGACTTACGTTCCTCAAGCCACTCCGCGGCATCACCCTTCAAAGCAATGGAACCCTCCACTCTTATTCCTCCGATTCGGTC